CAAAACAAAAAGATAGAAAGTAAGAAAAAGGGGGGGAAGGAATGAAAAGAGAAGAAAACACATAGTTATATCTTCTGCCCTTCTTTCTATCAAGTAATTATCATTATATTCTTTTCCCCATCTTCTTTGGCCCTTTTTAATCCCCAAATCCAGAAATCATCATTTCAGTCTTTTTTTTTTCTTTCAACAAAAAGTCCATATAGGTTTTCCAGTCTTTCAAAAAAGTCTGTGTCGTTTTTTCCCTGACCAGACTGGTCGGCTTCATCATTTCTGCAAGTTCAGTTAATTTTATAATCCAATCTTCCACTGTAGGTATTTCATTATGTTTCCATCTTTTTGCATACAATAATCTTGCCACAGAAAAAGAAACTGTTCTCAATGAGATGAAGTATAAACTATACCAGCACAAAGATAATCGCTACCCGATGGGCAGCATTCTGCATTTTCTATGACATGCTATTGGATTTATTTATCTAGACTTTCTCCTATTTTCTATTTCCCCCTTTTTAAACTTAGTGTTATCACTAGATGTATATAGCTTAGAACAGAAGCGATACCTGGAAATGAAAGATCCCAGCATAGTCCTTCTGGAAACTCTGATCTTTGGGAACAACACGGTCTAAAATTTCTTGATCTAATGTGAGACACGCAATAGCTGCCAAAAGCCAACAGTCCCCTGGAAACATCAATGTTTATGAAAGAGATAAATGTATATTAATAAAACAATTCCTCCCTCAAAGTCAAGTAATCTAATAACCAGGGCCAAGCTAAGTTATTTTGACATCTGAGGCCCAACCCCATAAGCACCTTAATACCTCGTCCATGGAAATAAAAATATACTGAAAGGTAGATGAGAGGATCCCCAAGTTACTACTTTTCCTGCTGCTTTGCAATTTTCCAGGGGTAATAAAGATCACAGGTTATATCTGGCAAGTATACATGTCTAATGACCATATAAAAGTTGTTTTGTTCTGTCTATATTCTAGAGCAGTGTTTATCCTCAAAAACTTTAAGATGTGTGGACTTCAACTGTCCACACGTCGGCTGGGGAATTCTGGGAGCTGAATTTCACATATCTGAAAGTTTCTGAGGTTGAGAAACACTGTTCTAGCGTTATGTTAAATTTGATGTGCTCGATCCCTGAATAGAACTTTTGCTATTATTTTTTCACTTAAAAATCAACTTTGAAGATCCTTACTCAGATCAGAGTTTTAGGGCTGGAGAAGGGACTAACTTTCCCCACATGGCATTTTCTCAATGAGTCCCACCCCGCCCCCCAACGCTAAAAACTGGGCAAAATAAATAGCAATTTGGAAAGGAGTGGGATCACTTCAGTGAAGAAAACAGCATGTAGAAGACTTAAACCCAGTTCACATATAGACCTGACTTGAAGTGAAGATTGCTGTGGTTGCTTTTAAATATTACTGAAGTGGGAGACACTCCTATATCACATCTAGTTTGGCTTTTCCATGCCCAGAGCAAGAGACCAATGGTGTATATCATGAAAAGGAAATAAATGTCTAGCTTATATTACCTAGAAATTTGGTCTCCATTACAGATTGTTTTTTGCTTTGTTGCTTTTGAATGCATCATGAAAATGGCAATGTGGAAATATGTTTTTGTTAGACGCCGTAAGAGTGATAAAATAAGAGTTAAAACAAGTAAGCCCATCATCTGCCATTTGAAGGCTTTAATGCAGAGAAAAAGATTGCAGGCTAACATATGTGTTTAAATGCACATTTAAATAAATTGTATTATTTTGCATGCTATGCATATAAGCATATACAGTGGTACCTCGAGTTACGAACGCCCCTCCTTGCGAATTTTTCGAGATACAACCAGCTCCGGGCCCAAAAATTTACCTCGACTTGCGAACTCCGCCTTGAGTTACGAACCGGATCCGCGGCCATTTTCCCTGCTGCCACGCGGTCGCAGCTTCCTGTGGGCGAGATCGCGGTAGCAAGGAGACGTTCGGTGAGGCTTGTGGT